ATATTGTTGAATTTTGCATTTACGTTGATTTCGCTAGGGCCTAATTTGTGGAATTCATATCGGGCCCTGACAATCATAGGATCGACCCTGATCATGGTATATAGATAGATGTCATGAAAGAGCGGGAAATATTATAGGGAAAAGCCATTAGAAGAATTAGTCTAAAAGCAGTGCCAAAAAGGTATGTGACGGAAGGTGATTAAATGGAAGAGATGATTGTGTTTTAAATTATCCACTGATAAAATATCATGTGGCATTATTTAAATCTTTATGTCAAATGCGATGTACATGTAGCATGATTAAATATTATAATAACCGATTTTCTTTTCATCTTTTTTTTTTCTCATTCTCTCTTTTTCATGTTGTCTATATGTACATCATTATATACACAATGAATTATAAATAGTGTTACTCCAAAAAAAGTGGATTTTTTTTTTTAATTTGGATTATGAGATTTTAACTCAATTAAATCTTGTTACGTCATCTGCTGGTAAATAAATTTATAAGTTGTGATATACATGTAGCATAATCGTGTCATTTTTACTCATTCGTGCCTCACACGTCCTTTTCTAAAATGTTTGAGATGCTTCTAGGGACTGACTTGCACATTAATTAAAAGTTTGAAGACGTAAATACTAAAACAATAAAACCAAGTCTGCCTATTAAACTTTATACATGATTACTACTTGCTCACAGAATCATAAAAGGTTACTCAGTGCTTATTGAACTATTCATTAATTTACCCATTCATCACTAAAGTCAATCCTGTATATACAACTGGACAAATATCTCTATGTGACGAATGAAATTATGACATTGCAATACACGACGTTAGTGAAGCACATGGAAGATAAAAACACATGAATAACAACTTTAAGCCATTTAAGAAAAATGTCTTTTTGCTTCTCCCTCTAAAACAAATGTGCTCCTTAATTTCAATTGCAGAGGTGAGAATCAAATATCCCCAATTCAAATCTAACCCTAGTAAGAACACGTTCTTAAGTTCTCCAAGGAATTCTCTACATTCGCATCTCATAATCATGAACAAGGTTTGTACCGTTGTTGTCAGATAAATGTAACAAATTATTCATGGATGAAAATAATCCAGGAAGACGATTTTGAGGTTGTAGATACTACAGACATTCAGATGCTTGTAACTACTTTGCTTGAATCAACACAACTCTTCATTCACGATATAAGATTATAATGAATGGGTTACTTCGCAAGCCCAATGATATGTAGTAGAGGGTGTTGGAATATTTCTAATATGGGCTTCACGTTTGATTATTTATTTTACGGGTTAAATGTATGACTCATAATGATATTTGTGTTTGGACCAAATTTGTAATGTGATCAATTGGACTTTTACACCTTACGGACCATATTTAATATGATGTGATAATTTTAAGTTCGTGAGCCGAAAATATTTGTAAACCCTTATTAGAGTTTCAGTCATAATGGGACGTCTCAATAATTTTTTATATAAATGCTAGGTCATTTCTCCTCTTCATGTTATTTTTATTAGCTTGTCTCATAGACAGCTAATACGTTGTGAGGAGTAAGAAGGGAAGATCTAGCTGCTATTATTCATATCAACAATGGCTTCCGCAAGTATAAATTTGATTTATCAATTTATTATCATGTTATTTTTTATTCTTAGCATAATTATAATTAAATTCTACAGAGGGAGCTTAGGGTGAGCAGATTGATGACGGTATATCAAGTGGGATTGGGGGTCCTGTTGATTTGCAATGCTGTTGGCCTTTTGTTTGCTATATTTCCAACTAATGCTACTAATTTATTTTTATTATTTTTTCACAAATTCTTTTAAGTAGAACCTTCGACCATAATCAAAAGATCCAAAATTGTCGACATTTGAGTTAGCATGTGCTAAATAAGTTGTTTTCACTTGATTCCATCATCTAATCTATAATTGAGTTACGAAACTTTTTGGACAAGTATCCTACATTTAAAAAACATTGGTCTCTACAAAATCGTAAGATCATGTATGGAGATTGATACCAGTATAATGTCTGAAGGTCAAGGAAGTGTGTTCATAAATGGTCAAAGTCTTGTGCCTGCTGTTGGGTATACTATTCTACTGGAATTCAATAAAAACTGAATATTTACAGCCACCACATGAATTAATTAAAAATGGCCCAAATTTCTTTACCATTTTTAAAGACTTCATCGTGTCTGACCCTGACTTTCAATCTATAACCCAATTTCATTATATAGGTCCGTAGCTGGCACTGTTGACTTGTAAAATCAGTTGAATTTTTAGGTTTGTCTGGTATTTTTCCTGCTTGTTTGGTGTCAATGAGAAAATTCCTAGGATAGCATGCTCCGTCCAAATTCGGAATGAGTAACGTCTTATGAATCTCAAATTTGTCCGAGTTTTGTAGATTTTCTCTAGAATTACTTTGTTACATTAATATTTTGAAATACTATTCTTCTAATTTCGTATGATTCTTGTGTTATCTTCTTATTTACATACATTTTTCATGCAATGCATCTCCCATCCCGTTGCTCTCATTTCTCCAATGTCCCTCATCTCCTCTCGGTGCTCGAGTCTCTCGAGATGGAACTACTTCTCTAGACGTGCAAGAAGTGGGATGAGGGAGATACATGAGTGAAGGGAACGTCGCCCTTGGAGGATGGGAGATGGAGAAAAGGTGCCATTTTTCAAAACTTATTAGGCATTTCACTTGAGATATAAAAAAGGATATTTAGGGCTTGTTTGGGAGCGATTTTTTCACCAAAAAAATTGATTTTTTGACCGTTATTTCACTATTCCAGCCGTCATATTTGACTTCTTCTCTCATAGGTGGACCCCACTTTTCTCCTAACGATCAAAAAATCAATTCTCAAAACCACTCCCAAACAAACTCTTAGATTATTTGGCCCCTTTTCTAAAATTTATTTTCTTTAAATTCATTTTAATCACAAATTTAATGAGACCTACAATTGTTATCAACTTTTTCAATTACACTCTTATAAAAATTTACTATAAATTTGATTTTCAACTAAATTAAACAGGGGCTAGCCTAGTATATCAAATTGATTTCCAAAGTCGTCTTAATCAGCTTTGATTGAGTATTTAAGAAGATACTGTAAACCTTTTGTAAATGAGAAAACACTGATTGTTATGATAGGCTCCTTTAAATTTTCAGATCGACTACTTTGATCAATTACACAAGTTTCAAGGCCTAATAGTGTTAAGGTATATAATCCCACGCTGAAAAAGATAAAAAGACCGATCAGATTATAAGAGTTTGAGCAACTCCTCTTAACAAAGTTGACATTTTAAAACGAAACCCCACATTTTTACATGATATGAGAGTCTATTAAACTCTAATGAATAATTCGATTCGATTAAGACTCAAAAATGAGCATGCGAATTTTAAGATTAGATTGCTCAAAAGCCCATTAACTCCAATGAGTAATTCGATCCAATTAAAACTCAAAAAATGAGCATATAAATTTCAAGATTAGACAGCTAAAAAAAGCCACCATTTTGAGGGGGCCTATTAAGGGATATAATTCAATATCGAATAAAGATAAATATATATACTAATTTATAAAAGTTTGGACAATTCCTCTTAATAAGGTGTGACATTTTAAGATGGAATCCTAAATCTTTACAAATACATTCTATTTCGTGATAAAATACTCATAGTATATTTGCTTCCTCAAAACCTTTTGATAAATGAGAAATTAAGATTAAAAATGAGCCTCTAGAATTAGAAAGTTTCGAATTTTGATATTATGTGCCTGTTTGAGCCACATTATTCCAAAAAAATGTATTCTTAAACAGTGATTTGACATCATTTCAACCACACATTCTTCAATAAAATAATATTACACGCAAATCAAAAACTTTTCCTTATTTTTTATATACACATTTTTCATCAATATACTATTCAAGAATGCATTATTACCAAAATAATATGGCTCAAACACCCCATATATATCAATAAGGATAATATTTAAGACCTGTATGAGCCCTAATTTTTTCCTTTTTTTCCATTATTTTTTCTACAATACTCATTTTCAAGTACACATTTTTCATTAAAATAATATTACGCACAAATCAAAAAAATTTCTTCTTTTTTAACCATATATTTCCTATCAATTTACTATTTCATAATACATTACAAAAAATTAATAGGCTCAAACAGGGCCTTAGTATGTTGATTTATTTTATATTATACTTAAAATTACATATTGCTTGGTATTAATGGTAATTGAAAATAAATTATTTAATACCATTTAATACTAGAATTAATAAATTATTTAATTATTCTTATTATTGATTTATAAATTTCACGTTTGTTGGTAATTTAATAGAGAAAAAAATGAAAAAGAAAAAAAAAACAGTAAACTTTCACTAGGGACACCTACAACTCCCTATCAGTAGTGAATAAAATACCACTAAAGATTACCATTGACATTACATGTTACGTACTAAAATAATTATGGTCTACCTGAATGTTGCGTCAATCATAAAAAGAATCTCATCACATGACCACATGTTATCGAACATATATTTATGCCTAGATAGTCGAGGTCTATTAGTCTAGAAATGATGTCAACTCACAGCCTCAGAAATTAATGATACAATTGAGTGCATGAGTTTGAAAGTAATGATGGAAGACATTATAACTAAGACGAACCGTTCGATTAATAAAAGACAATCAGGCAAAGGGTCTTATGGGCCCCACTCTATAAGAAGATGCCACTCACGATCTCAGAGTAAACGATTCACAGCCTTGGAATAAATTATTAGCTACAAAATCGACCCTTCCGAGAGAATGACAAATTAGGGCCCAAGTAGCTTAAGAAGTCGAGAACCTATGCAGAAATTCTGACCATCTTCGAAAGTCCTTATGTGGGTGGACAATCCATAAATGCCCAGCACAATTGTGCTCGGAAGGCAAGGGCACCCCAATGACTATCTATCTGGTTCAAGGAGAGAAGGTCAAGAAATGGACGGTTTTAACTGAATTGTGGCATTTTTATTGAATAATCGCTTATGGAAATTTATTAATGTTTCTTTTCAATGTGGGAATAGATATACATTGGGGGTTAGGTTTATACGAGTTCCTGAGGGATTTGGGGAATGATTTTCGTTCAACAACTCCAAACTACTATCAATTGAAATTCGTCCTTATTATAATGTTTCTTCTTCTACTTCTTCTTGTTCTTCGTTTTTTCTTTCTTCCAAATTTTGATGGATGGATTTTTATTCATTATTATTATTATTATTTTCAGGTTTGCAGAGTGGGGCAGTTTCTGGTGAATGATCTGCTGTCTATGTGCTGCAAATGGGGCCTATATTCTACATACTCATCGCATTGCCTTGTACAGTTGGCGCAATTGCTTTGGCAATACTTCACATTTACAGGCATCTTTTGAATTATACGGAGCCAACGTATCAGCGATACATTGTCCGCATTATCTTTATGGTTCCTGTAAGTATTTCACTACCCTCCAGTGGACTTTTTTCATTAGTATCGCATCAGCATGCTTATTCATTTATGTGCAAGTTTCAAGATCGTTAAAATGTTCTACCTCGAGGAATGGATTGGTCTGTTGCAACATTTGTTGGGAGTGTATTGTATTTAGGTGTGGGTTTAGCAATTTTTAAGAATATGACTCTATTCAGATGTCCTTGAGGCATTGTATTGTACTTTTATTCTGCTAATTTTAAGTCTACAGGGAAGTAAAGCTTTGATTTCTTCATTGCATATATTAATTATAGTTTACTCTTTTACTGGTAGACTTGGAAAATATGTGGTATTGGAACTAGAATAAACTTGCAAGGCTTGTGCAGCACAAATGGAATTGTGATTGTGATAATAGTTGAAGTGTGAGTTACTAGTATAAGACAATTCTAACTTTGTGTTATTTGCAAGATATGCTTTCTCAACTTAAATTTTGTTGTTTTGGTTGACAATATTTGCATTTTACCCAGTCATTTTAAAATCACAAGCTTTTCAAAAGATTTCAATAATACTTCAAAGGTTCCTTTGAGCTAGTGACTCGTGGTAAAAAACCACTACAATTAGAAGGGATGTTTAAAAAAAAAAATTGAACTTCCTAAATTAATTTTTCTTGAAGCAAAAGTTCCACTAGAGATATTTTACACCACTAGCCTAATAAAGGCTTTTCATCTTTAGTGCACCCAAACCCAGACATTGGTCATGTAACATGTAGACTATTGATTTCTCTCTCTAGGGGCATGAGGGCAGGGAGAGATGGTTGTTTCAGTTAAGTTAGGCATATAAGTTACCTGTTAGTTTCGTTAGTGTTAGGAACTGACTGTATCTATATTTGCCATATATTGTATCTTTCATTACTGGATTTCATTTTCCCATCTTTCGTTAGTGTTAGCAACTGACTGTATCTATATGCTGCTATGCTCCCTCTTATGGTTCCCATTTTCCCATCTTGAAGTATAACAGATCCATATTGAATGGATTTATACCTTTTCTGTTCTATATTTTTATATATATCTATTTAAGCATACACTTATTTGTATAGAGTTATGACCATAATTCATGCAATAGGTAGTATTAAATGTTTATCGCAGATGAATCATCCCTGTTTTGCATAAACTAAATCTGACCATCATGAAATTGGTTCTCTTGACAGGTTTATGCGCTAATGTCTTTCTTGTCCCTTGTCCTTAATAAGAGAGCAATCTACTTCAATTCAATCAGAGAAGTGTAAGCACGGACACATTTTAATTTTTTTGTTGAACTGCGTTGTATGATAATTAATAGATGCTCCATGATTTTGGTTTTTTGGTATTGTCGCACTTATTCATTGCCATAAATATTATTCCGTGATCTCAATTGTTAAAAATGTGGACTATAGTGATGGTATTTTTATATCTGTTAATACTTTGTCAACAATGAGGACAAACTAAGCCTCATTCATTATAAGTATGGGGTTAGCGGCATGAATCCTTTTTGCCAAACGTTTAAAGAATTGGAGAGACAGATTTGGGTGATGGTGCTCCATCTGTGGCATGCGGAACTGCAGAGATGGACGGTACTGGAGGATGTTGGGGACAAGGAGGCAGGTCGCTTCAATCCCAGGTACAACTATTATAGGCAATAGTGGAAAAGGATATGACGAGAGCCAAATAAACTGGTTCTTTAGATAAGAAAAAGTTGGTTCAAAGGACAGGTAGCAGAACAGTTTCATTTTAAAGTTAAAGAACAAGCCCTTGAAAAGGTTCAATTGGGTCTGTGGATGAGACGAGGGGTTCTGGCAATTGGCGAAAGGAGGCCCAGTGACAATGGTTTTCACATCCCTGGATCCAGAGTTTTGGCTCAAGTGAATCAAGATATTCAATTTCTGAATACTTTCAGGTCTTGGGTCCTTTGGAGATGACGTTGATTGACATAAGTGTATGACAAGAGGTCTTTTGGTTTGCTCGACTATTATAATGGTTAGCAAACTGATAAACCTTTCCACCAGGCACTTTCTATCTGGTAGAGATGTTTCTCGATCTCCGTCATTTTCTCTGGGAAGTAGGAGGGGATGAGCAAACCAATCAGAGGAGGTGTCAATTGTTCATAGTGCTCTATACAAATGGCCGGCAAGCTGGTTAGGGAATTATGCTGTATGGAGATTGGACGGCAGTCTAATCTTGTTGGTTGCTGGGCTGTTAATGAGTACTTCATATGGAGTTCATTTTAGAGATTTGGAGGGGGTGTGATTTGTTTTGCCATGCTGAAGAACTCGTGGGGGCTGATCATGTGGGCTTCACGACAGAACATTGGTCAAGTCTTCAATTTCATGTTGGGAAATACAAATTGTTGGAGTTTGGTCGTTTATTAGGGGCCTCTTTTGAGGAGAGAACTCTCCAATACAGAACAATGGTAAGGGTGTTGTGGGAGGAGAGTAGATCCCTGCATAGAAGTTCTGCATCTATGCACTAGAGGAACTCAAAGAAGTTGGTCTCTTCTGTGAGCTATGAAGGATTATAAATAGTAAGAGAAGATAAACTAGGGGAGAAGGTGCGGTTTTTGTCTCCATATGAATTTCAAGTTTTTATCCTGGTATGCACGGGTTCTCAATGACATTCACAAGAGTGGGGGGTATAAAAAAGGTTGTGAGGGAATGGAAGCATACTGTAGCTTGTATTCAGAGTAAAAATGGATTGTGAATGATATGTGGTATCAGACAGGTGTAGGGTTTGATTTTTTGCCTTCTAGACAAGCTGTGACAGATATTCTATTGACCCATATTCTGTTAATGTGGGATAGACGGGTTATTTTTTGTCCGGTATATTTTCATGCTACCATTTAGAAATTGATTCTCTCAGGTGTTTGTGGATATCAATCAGAAGGATGATTCTAGGCAGGAGTTCATTCACGAAGAGTGAGAGGGGCATTCCTTTTAGTGTAGTGGGGGTGAGGTTGTAACAAATAAATTTCTGAGGGGAGGACGGGCTGTACTGATTTTCCTGGGCTTACACTGGATAAGCTTTATAATTGATAGTCCTTTTGGTTGTTTGTCTTTGAAAGGGGGATCTTCACTTGGACCAATGCTAGAATCTGCTTATCTAAGAAACAGATTCTTACTACTACAGACTGGGAAAAGTCTCTTCCAAATTCTGCCAGTCAAGCCCGTCCAGGAATGTTCCAGATCACTTTCCCATTCTTTTAACTCTAGATAGTTGAACTATGTGGATGAGGGTTGGATTGGAAAGAATTCATAATACATGATTAAGTACTGGCAGTCCTGTGGATAAAGCTAGGGAGTGTTGGAGTCGTTGTCAAGTGACTGGGGCGCTCGCTTTACGTTGGAAAAGAAGGTAAAGCTTTCTAATGATGATAAAGAAGTATAGAACAAGGAATCCCTTGGCAGGGCCTATGTGAAAATTAAGAACTCTTCCTGAGGATGGAGGTGGGTGACGGTAGTGAATATGCTAAAGCATCTTGAAGAACAGAAGAACGTAAGGAGTGAGATGGAAAACTTTCTTGGCTGAGGAGATATAAGGCAAAATCCTGGATCTTATGGTAAAAAACAAGGGGATAATNTTGACATTACATGTTACGTACTAAAATAATTATGGTCTACCTGAATGTTGCGTCAATCATAAAAAGAATCTCATCACATGACCACATGTTATCGAACATATATTTATGCCTAGATAGTCGAGGTCTATTAGTCTAGAAATGATGTCAACTCACAGCCTCAGAAATTAATGATACAATTGAGTGCATGAGTTTGAAAGTAATGATGGAAGACATTATAACTAAGACGAACCGTTCGATTAATAAAAGACAATCAGGCAAAGGGTCTTATGGGCCCCACTCTATAAGAAGATGCCACTCACGATCTCAGAGTAAACGATTCACAGCCTTGGAATAAATTATTAGCTACAAAATCGACCCTTCCGAGAGAATGACAAATTAGGGCCCAAGTAGCTTAAGAAGTCGAGAACCTATGCAGAAATTCTGACCATCTTCGAAAGTCCTTATGTGGGTGGACAATCCATAAATGCCCAGCACAATTGTGCTCGGAAGGCAAGGGCACCCCAATGACTATCTATCTGGTTCAAGGAGAGAAGGTCAAGAAATGGAAGATGGCGTATACATGTATAGCTTCACACAAGATGCAAAGAGTGATAAATTAAGTCCCAAAACTTTCTAAATGTTGTTGATTTTTGAAAACTTGTGATCTTCTTCGATTGCTCCCTTAATTCTGTATATTGAATAATTGCAATCAGGTTGATCATCAGTTGTTTTGAATCAACTCCAATTTTGTCATTTTTACGTAAATTGGAGTTACCTGCAATTAGTCATATTTACACAAAATTAAGTAAATATGCACTTAGTCAAATAATTAAGAATTAAGAATGAAAGCACAAATAAGTGCATAATATGCACTTATCATCACTATAAAAATTCTATTCAAAATCTCTGTGGAAAAATGAAATTAAATCCATCAATATATTTTGGGATATGTGAGGAAAATTGTAGTGAAAGCGACTTTTCTGCCTCAATATTTTCGATTATGCACTCTCTCATTTCCCTAATAGACCTTCCACTAAATGAGAACCGAATTGTACCATTGATTGTAAACACTTGACACTACAATTATTTTCGAACCCTTACCAAATCAAAAAGAAAAAATTAATTATTGCGGATGTCGTAAAATACTATTGATAACCATACATAGCATACAAGATACGAAAAACTTGATTAATCAAATTAAAATCTTGTGAATGTGCAATAATATGTGCAACGTCTGGATTAGGTTCATTAGATGCAATGTGTTTATGAGTAAATAGTTTTATAAAAGTTAAATTATCACCATCAAGCTATAGTGTTATGAAATATGCGTATCAATTACTGTAAATAGAATAGCAGAATTAACGATTAAATAAATATTACATTCGTAGTTTATAAAGAATAACTTTAATTTTTCTTTTATATTTCTGAATGACGTAATACAACTGGCCTTTTTGTCGGATACTTGAAAGTTTTCAACCATTATATTTTAAAGGTTAAACCCTAACCTTAAGGGTCCCCCACCACCCCTATCCTGGAGTATCGTGAGAGAGGTAAATCGCAGGTTATGCCTTCAAGGGTACAGGGTGGAAGGCTGCTTGTACACTTGCACTTACCCAAGAGCCAAATCCATATTTCAGGATTCGAACTCTTGACGCAGCAGTCTCAAACAAAGATGGATTTCTCCACCCTCCTCTTTTACCACTTGGAGATGTGCCCTGGGGGCTTTCAACCATTATATTTTTGTTCGAAGAAGATGATGGGTTAGCCATTATATAAATTACATAGTATAATAATGTAATCGAAATTATAGAAGTAAAGATTAGATAGTGAATGCCTTTTTTTTTTTTTGAAGTGATAACTATTAAGAAATATAGGATTATTTATTATTTATTAAGGGTAGAATAGTCCTTTTTAGTTTCCTTTGTTTAGCATATATATATATTCTCTTTGTATTTAGGTCAAACCATCTTTTAGCATTCAATTAATTACGTAGTATCAATGAAATCCTAGCCTCCTCCTTTTTCTTCTTTATTTTCTTTGGATTGTTTAACATGGTATCAGAGCCAAATTTCATGGGACAAAATTTAATCTCAAACACAGCTTTTGCGGATCCAATTGGTATTTCTGCAATCTGTTAAATCTGGTATTTCTGCAATCTGTTATTTTTTTTTTATTATGGCTACTGAAAGAGACGATTTCCTTCAGTCTGTGAGTGTGAGGTTGGATGGAAAGAATTATTCGTATTGGAGTTATGTGATGAGAAATTTTCTTAAGGGTAAAAAGATGTGGGGATTCATTAGTGAAACTTCTTTGAAACCTGAGAATACCAATGAGGGTTATGCTGCTTTGATAGATGCCTGGGAATCAAACAATTCAAAAATTATTGCTCGGATTAACAACTCTGTGGAGCATTCCATAGGTGGAGAGTTGGCGAAGTATGAGACAGTAAAGGAGGTTTGGGATCATCTGCAAAGATTATTCACTCAGTCAAATTTTGCAAAGCATTATCAATTGGAGAATGATATACGAGTTCTTCATCAGCATAATATGAGTATTCAGGAGTTTTATTCTACTATGACAGATCTTTGGGATCAATTGGCCCTTACAGAATCGACAGAATTAAAGGCATGTGCTGCCTATATTACTCGTAGAGAGCAGCAACGGTTGGTACAATTTTTAACGGCACTTCGCAGTGATTTTGAAGGACTCAGAGGTTCAATTTTGCATCGTTCTCCACTTCCTTCTATTGACTCAGTTGTCAGCAAGTTATTGGTTGAAGAAATATGTCTTAAGTCGTATGCTGAAAATGGAATTCTTTCTGCTTCTAATCCTTCTGTATTAGTAGTGTCTTCTAAGCTATCCTCTAATAATCAAAATAAGCCTTACACAAGGATTGCCTTTGACGAGTGCAGTTTCTGTAAGCATAAAGGTCATTGGAAGGCTCAGTGTCCTAAGTTGAGACAGTCGAATCAATTACAGCAGCAATCTCAAGCTTGGAAGCCTGGCAACCAATCACGATCTAATGCTCATAGACAACCACAATCTAATACTGCGGCAGTACCTTCATCAGGTCCTTTCACTGATCCTAGTACTTTGGTTGAGCAACTTCAGAAGTTTCTCTCCTTACAACCTCAAGCTATGTCTACTTCTTCCAAAGGTCAGTTGCCTCATAGTTCTTCAGGTATGTCACATTCTGTATGGGTCTTGGATTCTAGTGCTTCACATCATATGTCTCCATATTCTTCGTCTTTTGCTTCTGTGTCCCCTTCGCCTTCTATTGTTGTCATGACTGCTGATGGCACTCCTATGCCATTAGCAGGTGTTAGTTCTGTTGTCACACATCACTTGTCCCTCCCTAATGTTTATCATATTTCGAAACTCACATTAAATTTTGCTTCTATTGGTCAGTTATGTGATTCTGGTAATTTAGTCACATTTTCCTCTTCTTGTTATTTGCAGGATCTACAGTCTCAGAAGCTGATTGGGACAGGCTGTAGGAAGGGTGGACTATATATTTTGGATGAGCTAAAAGTGCCAGTTGCTGCTGTCGCTACTAGTGTTGATTTGTCTTCGTTTCGTTAGAGTCCTTCTTCTTCTAGTTTTTATTTATAGCATTCTCGTCTAGGTCATGTTTCGTGGTCTCGTTTGAGATTTTTAGCTTCTACAAGGGCTTTAGGAAATTTACACCCTTGTGATATTTCTGATTGTAGTGGATGCAAATTGGCAAAATTTTCAGCTTTACCTTTTAATCGAAGTATTTTTGTTTCTTCTTCTCCATTTGATTTGATTCATTCTGATATATGGGGGCCTTCTCCTGTTGTCACAAAAGGAAGGTCTCGATATTATGTTTCTTTTATTGATGACCACACTCGTTATTGTTGGGTTTATTTAATGAAACATCGTTATAAATTTTTTGAGATATACTTAGCCTTTCATGCTCTTGTTAAAACTCAACATTCTGTTGTTATCAAATGTTTTAGGTGTGATTTGGGTGGGGAATACACTTCTAATAAATTTTGTGAGCTGCTTGCTTTAGATGGAACTATTCACCAAACTTCGTGTACAGATACTCCTGAGCAAAATGGTGTTGCTGAAAGAAAACATAAGCACATTGTTGAAACAGCTCGTTCTCTCTTGTTGTCTGCATCTGTCCCTAGTGTGTTTTGGGGTGAAGCTGTTCTTACTGCTATAGGTTTGATTAATACAATTCCATCTTCTCATATTTCAGGGGTTTCTCCTTTTGAAAAGTTGTATGGGTATACCTCTGATTATTCTCTCTTTAGAGTTTTTTGTTGTACTTGTTTCATTCTTTGTCCTCATGTAGAATGCAGCAAGTTATCATCTCGATCTGCTATTTGTGTCTTTCTTGGTTATGGTGAAGGTAAAAAGGGGTATCGTTGTTTTGATCCAATAACTCAGAAACTTTATGTGTCTCGTTATATTGTTTTTCTCGAGCATATACCTTTCTTTTCTATTCCATCCACTACTTATAATCTGACTAGATCTGATCTTATTCGTATAGATCATTTTTCTGAAAATCCTGATAGTTTGTCTTCTCAGGAGCCTACTACTTCAAATGTCCATTCTCATATTCCTACCCCGTTGTCTTTACAACCAATTCGTACTAATCATTCCGCAGGAACTGACACTTTACTCTTCGGCACACCTGAAGTGTTCTCTTCTCCTACAATCCCTCAAGCTCCGTCTGAGATTGTCGATCCGCCTCTACGTCAATCCATACGCATTCGTAAGTCTACAAAGTTACCAGATTTTGCTTATTCTTTATCTTTTTCTACCTTTTTAGCTTCTATTCATTGTCTCTCTAAGCCCTCTTCCTATAAAGAGGCAATTCTTGATCCTCTTTGGCAGTAAGCTATGGATGAGGAACTTTCTACTTTGCATAAGACTGGTACTTGAGATTTGGTTACTTTACCTTTTGGTAAGAGTGTTGTTGGTTGTCGTTGGGTATAAGATCAAGACTAATTCTGATGGGTCAATTGAGCAATATAAAACTAGGTTGGTTGCAAAAGGATACTCTCAACAGTATGGTATGGATTATGAGGAGACATCTGCTCCTGTTGCAAAAATGACTACTATTCGTACTCTTATTGCAGTAGCTTTGGTTCGTCAGTGGCGTATCTCTCAACTTGATGTTAAAAATGCCTTCCTGAATGGAGATCTTCAAGAAGAGGTTTATATGACACCCCCTCCTGGTGTTTCACATGATTCTGGGTATGTTTGCAAGTTCAAGAAAGCGTTGTATGGTCTCAAACAAGCACCTCGTGCTTGGTTTGAGAAATTTTCTGTTGTGATCTCTTCCCTTGAATTTGCTTCTAGTAGTCATGATTCTGCTCTTTTTGTTAAGAGTACTGATGCATGTCGTATCATTCTATCTTTATATGTTGATGACATGATTATTACTGGTGATGATATTGATGGTGTTTCAGTTTTGAAGACAGAGTTAGCTAGACAGTTTGAAATGAAATATTTGGGTTCTCTACAATATTTCTTGGGTATTGAGGTAGCCTTCTCACCCAAAGGTTATCTTCTTTCTCAGTCGAAATATGTTGCTGATATTCTTGAGTGGGCAAGACTTACTGATAATAAGATTGTTGATACTCCAATTGAGGTTAACGCGAAGTATTCTTCTTCTGACGGTTTAGCTTTGTCAGATCCTACTTTATACCGTACTATTGTTGGGAGATTGGTATATCTCACCATTACTCGTCCAAATATTGCATATGTTGTTCATATTGTTAGTCAGTTTGTTGCTTCTCCCACTACAGTTCATTGGGCAGCTGTTCTTCGCATTTTGCGATATCTTAGGGGTACAATCTTTCAGAGTCTGTTACTTCCATCCACCTTCTCCTTGCAGTTGCGTGCATACTCTGATGCTGATCATGGCAGTGATCCCACAGATCGCAAGTCTGTTACTGGTTTCTGTATCTTTTTGGATGATTCTCTTATTTCTTGGAAAAGCAAGAAACAATCTATAGTTTCTCAATCTTCCACCGAAACAGAATATCGTGCTATGGCATCTACTACTAAAGAGATTGTTTGGTTACATTGGTTACTTGCAGATATGGGAGTTTTTCTTTCTCATCCTACTCCTATGTATTGCGACAACCAAAGTTCTATTCAGATTGCTCACAACTCGATTTTTCATGAACGAACTAAGCACATTGAGATCGATTGTCATCTTATTCGTCATCATCTCAAGCATGGCATAATTACTTTGCCCTTTGTTTCTTCTTCTTTACAGCTTGCAGATTTTTTTACCAAGTTGCATTCTATTTCTCGTTTTCATTTTCTAGTTGGCAAACTCTCGATGCTTGTAGCTGCCGCATTGTGAGTTTGAGGGGAGATGTTAAGAAATATAGGATTATTGATCATTTATTAAGGGTAGAATAGTCCTTTTAGTTTCCTTTGTTTAGCCTATATATATTCTCTTTGTATTTAGGTTAAACCATCTTTTAACATTCAATTAATTATGTAGTATCAATAAAACCCTAGCCTCCTCCTTTTTCTTCTTTATTTTCTTTGGATTGTTTAACAATAACAACACCAACACCAAACAAATTATGAAATCAAAATAATAATAATAAATAAATAAATAAATAAATAAAATAAGAACAAGGCAGTATCTCTCAAACCCCACTTGAGTTCCGGCCATTCCCCCTACCGGAGCGAGCGAGATTGCTAGTAACAACACAAGAGAAGATGATGCGATAGAATGAGTAATTTAGAGAAATTTGTGATGAGAGCACAAATTTGGTGAATAGAAAAGGTAGTGGCACTGTCTTCTTATATCCAAAATCGTCATGCAAAAAAATCTAAAATATAAAGGAAAAAAAATTAAAATTAAAATTTGAATTTTGAACGGTTGCCCTGCCTTAAATGACAATTGTTGCATTGTGCAAGGCTATGGAGAGCTCGTGTGAGCCCACGAGCAACTCGCACGAGAATTTTGTTATTCTACTCGTTAGTAGGGCGAACCGAGCTGGCACTTTCCATTCCTAATCTCTTGATTGGTCCCGAGTCCATAAATTCTGATTTTTAGAAAAAAGGACAAGGTCTCGTGCATACACTCGCTATGTTCAGATGAGGACACATCATCAATTGCTACTACTATGTATATAGAACAAAAATCCGAGGTGCGAGGGATTACAACACCCCCATTTTCATACATTTACATATGAAACATAGTAATGCCATGTTAGGTATTGATTTTTCACTTCAAAAATCAATTTTTTGATCGTTATTTAACTATTCAAGCCATTAATTTTGACTTCTCTTAGAGGTAGGATCCACTTTTCTCTCCAACGGTCAAAAAATTAATTTTCAAAATCATTACTGAATAAGTCCTAAAGTTTCTTCTCCTATTGATTCTCACATCGAAGTGGCTGGGGGGGGGGGGGTTTCCCCCCCCCACATCGAAGTGGGGGGGGGGGGGGGGGGGGGGGTTTCCCCACCACTTTTTGTAGGTCGCAGACTACGATGCCATCAATGGTGGAGGAGAGGAAAAGAAAGTAATACAATGATACATGGACACAGACAAAATGAACATAGCATAAGAATGTAACAATTTTTTTCAATAAAAACGAAGATTCTACTTTCATCTTTTAATGCCCCATGTTTGGCATTATACATTGGCTAAACAAGAAATAGCAATTTACAAGAGAAAACAACAATTGATCACATACGAATGAGCTGATATAAATGCTGAGCTCAAAAATTGCCTGATATATCCAAACATGGCTTGAGAACACATTTTAGGAGTATATATATCAGAAGGTGCATGCTATCCCAAAACTTCTGAAGAATATGTTTTTAACTTCCCCATTGCATTAGCTGACATCTCAACTTCTTCACATCAGAGTATTTTAGAGGCTTTGGGATAAACATATGAGCTCCTTCCTCCAAGCACCTAGTAATTTAAATATTTTATAAATGTAAATCGTAAGAGAAGGATTCGGACCGACAACTTTGTGTCCAAAAGTTTAAGGTTTTAAAGAGCAAGTTTATGTACATATATTAATATCTTTATATAGTGTATGATAAGTCGCCAGAACAATTTTATAGTTTACATTGATTCATAAAAAAAAAAAAAAAAAAAGAAAAAAGGGAAAACTCATTGATCTACACAAAATACAATGAAATAAATGACAGATGTTTACTTGTTAATTCGAGTTGGTGTGTTCTCAGATGACATTATGACAACGGGGACATTCTTCATGACAGATGATTCCTGCTAACAAGAAGCCATTTATAGAAGTGTTAAAAGAACATACATTTTCAAATAGCACAAAATCAAGAAAAATTACCTTGATTTTCTTAAGTAGCTCATATCCAGTCATTCCTGGCATGCAATAATCTGTGATTATCAAATTCACCTTTGAACCCTGCTCAGAAATAAACATAGACAAGTACATACTTAAGAATATGGAAACAATACTTCAAGTTGTAATGATAGACCTTGTCACATGTTTGATACATAGGAATCGGCATTATAATGAATATGATTTTAGCTTCTTTTATCTTCCTTACTTCCGTCGAGTAATCTCTAGTTATCTATCCTGAACATAACATGGTTTTCTATAAGAGTAAGGGAAAAGTGAACACATTTTGTGATCTCTATCACTATTCCTCGTAAAAAGATACTAATAATCTTCCCGAATAGAGACTGAAAATCATCATCTGACTGAAGATAGCAAAAATGAACTAACTCCCCCGGTTGTCGGTCTTTCTACCCCAATTCCCCAGTCTAGCTCAACGCACTGGAGAAAAGTTCAGGTAGACCTAATGAGGGAAGTTTCTAGCTTACTTCGGTTTCTTTTCAAAATCAGGTAGACCCGTTATCTTTAGAGTCGATAATTCTTGATCAGGATGCATCTAACTTTCAAAATATTGATGAACTTTACTCATAAAGATGTGTTAAACGATATATATATCTAACAATTTGCAACACAAAACACTCACTAAGCCATCCACATTGTCATCCACAGAGCTTTGTTTGTCACTAGTCAGGCCCAAATACTCCAAAGCCATCAATCCATTTTCTGCAGTAGTCACTGGGAAATAGAATCATAAAATTAACTTTGAACCTGATATATGCTTTAAATTATGAAAACAAGCATAACATTTTCTTCTATGAAAATTTCTCATTATTTGATCAATTATTATCCGTTTGATATATATATATCAACCACGCTGGAGCTGGGACGCGAGTTGAAAGAAATATTTCAAGCCAAGAAAAATAGATTCAAGAAACAGTTAAAACAAAAACAAAATCTCTATATGTGAGGGCTTTGAGGAGACACTAATTCTTAATTACGAAATGATTAGAATGTAAAATATCAGTAAATTCTATAACCATATTTTCATTAACAACGTTGACATTTCAAGATAGTATTACCAGAATCAATATCGTATCAGAGACTCAAACTCAAATGATGATTAGTCAGATTTCCCGACCATATCATTATGGCCAGACATGTTCACAATAAAATTGCTTAAATATGAAAATAATATTAACATATAAGGACTACAAACTCCTCCAAAGGATTCTAATATGGACAAAGTACTAGAAAATATAGATTAGAAAAGATTAGTATACCTCTGCAAGAAGAATTCTTGAGCAACTTTTCGACAAGTTTAAGATCAGTTAAATTGTCATCAACAGCTAAAACATGGGGTTTTTCAATATGATTTGACAAGCCCTTTGTTAAAGAACCATCAGCTTCCATTTCTTACTTTCTTGATTATAAGAAAAATATGCAAAAGTATATGAAAACTGAAAAAAAACCAAGAAACTAAGTCAAAAACTATGAATGTATTAATGTGGGTTATTGGTATTTAAAGAGTAAAAAGTTGAGAATTTCCTCAATAAAAACCAAAAGTTAAACACAGATTTTTCGTGATCTTTTTTGGGTTCTCTGGACTCGATGCAGTCCACCACCAATATCCTATTTCTCTCTCTTTCGTATACAGTGTCAATAATCAGCATCAGAATCTCCCCACTGCCCCATGAGATCCTAAGTACACCTAATTACGTGCATGTTTGGCTTAGCTTATAGAACTTACTTATAATTGTTTTGTTGGTCAAAGTTAAGAAAGCAACTTGTAACATCTACCTTATTATCAAAATAAATAAATTTTGAATATAACTTATTAAACATGTTTGAAAATAATAATTTAAACTTAACCAAACATCCTCTACACTTTTTCTTTTCATGCGTGAGTTTTAGAATATCATGTTTGGATGATTGAACAAGGATATCAACATGTAGTTATATTTGAATTTATCATGAATGAAGAAATTTAAGAGTTCCATTGAGTATAAAATTTAATATTTAGAATGACTTGTTTTATCATGGTATAAAGAATTTCTAAAATTTATGATTATTCTAGTATTAAAAAAAAAAATCTCTTACCTTACAATCATAAATACATAATCATTTTCTTTTCAAAAAATAAGTCTATTAGATCGTACAGTACAATCTTACAAACTAACCTGCAATTTAAATTCGTGTGAAAGATGTTGAGTTTTTAATGCTTGATCCATTTTCTTGAAATTCAATGTTTAAAAAAAATAATAATAATAACAAAAGGTTCATTTTCTTCGTGATTGGATAATATTTCATTGAAATAATATGAAATTAAGGTTGAGTAATTTCAGTCAATTCAAATGCTATATCAATGACAGAGATCCATAGCGTGACAAATTGTTCAAAGTATTTAGTCTATTTTGATATGTGGATAACAATCAATCCTTGAGATTCATATTGCATTATTCTTACTTGATGATCATGATCTTTACTTTCTATCCAATCATCTAGCACGCCATCGTTGTTGTTTAGCATCCCGTGTTGACATAATAATTTTCACAAACATAGAGCTCTCTACGATGATAAGATTAAATAAGAAAAATTCGAAGCGTATATTTGAGCTCATTTTTTGCTAACACTACATTTTGAAATAATATATTGATGGAGATCATGTCATTCAAAAATAAAGAAAAGCTTAGAATTTGCATGTAATATTATTTTATTGAATAATGTAGTTGAAAATAAGAAAAAAAATATTTTTTGAAAATAATAGGGACCAAACAAGGAATTATCTTATTTTTCAGTTCATTGTATCAAACGTATAACCCCTACATGAATAGCTAATACTTGTGTATTTTCCACTTATGATGTACACAATATGCACCCTCTTACGCCTCCCGGGGCATAGTTTAGTGGTGTAAAGGATAGGAGTGAAGTTATCTCACGCCTTGCTGGCAGTCGCAGTGTGGGGGTTCGATTCCTGAAACATGGGATTGGATTTCTTGTAGGCGCAGTGTATAGACAGCTCTTATTCCCTGACTTGTTGGGGCATATCCAGCGATTTATCTCCTTCACAAAGCTCTAAGAGTGGGACGGTGTGGGCCCTCAAGATTGGGGTTCAACCTTAATATGCACCCCTTACTATCAAGGTATTATTTTTTTTAATCAAGTTTAATACTTGAAATATTAATAATGAATCTGGTTTTGGAAACAATCACTATCTGTGTTCATTGAAGCTTGGACTGATTCAGCTAATTTGAATTTATTGTTCTCAAATTCTTGTCCTATAGTTAGAGTTCAAGACAAATACGTCATGTTTAATGCACTGAATTGAATATAATTAAGGGCCTATGTGATAGTATTAAATTATATGAAAAATGTCACATTCGATAAACTCGTTTTCTATTTTGGCTGTTTGATATGAAAGTGGGAATGAAATTTGAATTTCAAAGTACAAACACTTAAAACATATTTTTAGCAAATTGAGTAGAAACCGAATTCCTATTGTTTGTTTTGGTGATTTTTTCTTTTCCAACTTACATGAAATTGATTTGCCTTTTTTATCTTTACAATCAAACAGATCCAAAGAAAAAATAAAGCGCGAAATGTTTGTATGTCGTCATGTCAATTACAAGCATGCACAAATATCCTGACTTTTCCCCCCTTTTTCTGATAATTTCAAGAACAATGATAGCGCATAAACTTGATCAACGAAACCATCAACATTCAATAACCATATAGGAATGATTGCTATGAAGACTGGATGACTTAAATTGATCTCAGAACATTATTTTGTTTGTACAATTTCTGTTAGGAAACATAGCCCCTACACCTAAAGATAATATTTTTAATAAATTTTGATAAAAATTAATGAAATGTGTGATTTTAAAGTCGATAAAAGTTGTGGATCCAATGAAATGTGTGATTAAAAATGAGTTTTAAAAAATGGAGACCAAACATGAACTTAATTTAGTGCATGCTAGTTTTCTGAATACAAGACTTTAATAAAATCATCCCTCGAATCACTTGATACTTGCATTTAGAATTGTCGAAATACCCAGTCCAGACGAAATCATGAACAAAAAACCTTTGGATGTAGCAACCGCAGTGCCATCAGCGGAAAGATGCTGCAACCACAGGAAAAAAGTGTTCAAAGAACATGAGGAAAGTGTTTAAAAAGCACTACCTAATGACAAAATTTTAGCATTTTGCTTAAATAATGTCTAGTGCTATGCAATATTCTCCTCAAACGTGTCATAAGAGTACTCCCCCAAGTACAATTAGAGGGAACAACTATAGTATAGCTAGAGGCTAGAGGGTATTTTATCGACAAGCACAATACAACCATTCATGATTCGACGACAGGGCAACAAGAATCTTGTTAAGACGTACACTTCTCAATTTTTGAAAATCTATCGCTATGCCATTGAGGGCTAGAATAGTAATTAGCCAACGAACGTGACAATTACCTTTCAGAACTTGTTAATGATCCAAGGGCAAAGCAATAAGGACTCTATTGTACTAGCAATCTTTGAAAACCTGTCATCGAGGGCTACAATAGTAATTATCCGGTGAACCCAACACTAACCATTCAAAACATACTAATGATGCAAGGATAAGGCAATAACGACTTTTTTATGGCAGAACTTCTCAATCTTCGAAATTCTACAGCCACTATTGAGAACTTTAGGAGTAATTAACCAACGAAACGACATTTACGATTCAGAACATGTTAACGATCCAAGGACAATGCTATTCTTATGACATAACTGTTAGAAAAAAATAAGTTATAAAATTTTCAAATTAAATATTAAAATTTCAGTTTTCATTTTAATTTTTAAGTTTTATTTTTTCTTAAATTTTCAGTTTTGTGTTTAGTTTTTAGATTCAATACAAAATTTAATCACATTATTATATTTGTAACATAAGTTGAATTTGATTAATATTCATTACGAGAGAGTTGAACTTTCCACTACAAAAGGAGCCAGATTTCTCATTGTTTACACACAAGAAAATCAAACAGAAAATACTCTATAGTCTTTTTATACAGTACTCTAGTCATTTTATATTCTTCTATAAATTTTGGCAATTGATAAGGGCTTGTTCTTTCTCTCCCTGTGGTTGTGCCCATAGAAGGAGAATCAGCTGCAAATTATAAGGATTTGATCTTAGAGCCGTATAATGTCGAAAGTACCCGCACGAAGGGGAGTCCACACGACTTTAGGACAGTGGTTATTGCGACTCTCTTAGGCCAACTTTCCTAACTCTATTATCATATTTATTTTATTTGATTCATGCTTATAATTGATAGTTCATTGCACAAATCACGTTAATTTTACAACAACAACTTCTCATCTTTAAAACTACAGCTAGACATTTACCATTTAGAACATATTAATGACTATGAACCCATGAGCAATGTGACATATTTATGAGCTATGATGCTCCGATGAGGACACGTGTAACATCTTAGACACATCGATATGCGATTTCCAAAAAAGTATAGATACGAAATGTCATCGACACCTTTATTGAATTTTTCACAAAAAAACATTTATATGGTATAAAATTAGTTTTATAAAAGATAAAATGCGCTACTAATGCGTCTCAACCCCCCCCCCCCCCCCCCCCCACCCCCCCACCCACACAAAAAAAAAAAAAACCCAAGGCCCCCCAACACGCCAATATTTGCTTATTATTAATTTTTCTTGTTGAAATCTTTTAAATGAGTGCCTATTTAATAATAATTTTGAGTTAAAAATAAATAATAGTTCTGTCAAAAAAAAATAAAAAGCCCATGATATAGTGTACAAGAAGTGCCGGTGTACCCTCATTGAAGTGTCCATACAGCAGAGTCTGAAACTTGGATAAAATACTTACATAGTATAACAGATTTACGAACTATTATTATGATGTGATCCACGTATTGAAAAGAATCAAAAGCGGGTAGTTCATTCTGGAGTTACCTTATCCAATTGCTTCTTTTTGGGATTAAGAACATCTTCTGGCTTTCCATCATGTCTGAATAAAGAAATCCAGCAGTGTGTACATGAGTAATGGAATCACTCAGAACTGGATTTTTTTTTCAAATCAACAATAAGGCCAATAAATTCAATGTCAAATAGTAAATGTTAATTCTGAAAAACTGAAAAGGTCCACAGAAATTTGAAACTGAACCCTCAAATCATATTTTCCTACTACCTTTAATCAATTATAAGGCTGATAAATACAATCTTCTGCAAAATACTGCACTTCTCTTTTAAGAAAAAGACAAAACAATAATCAGATGAAAAGAGTCGACCTGATTTGTCGTGTTATAGAAAAGTAATAGATGCATAGTTACTACAAGACTGAAAAGATGGCATGAACAAATAAATACTAAAACAAGTTCATAACGATATTTGCAAGTCATTAAATTAATGGATAAATATATATATACAAATTATGGTTGACAAAATCTTTCACTCTCTCACATAATGTGTGGACCCTGCATATATTTAAAAAATGACGGCTGGTGATCCTCACTCCTATTGTGAGTAATAAGTAAATGATTATGTAAAAAAAAAAAATTGTACTTGTAGTATTGTCCTAAATTAACCTTGAGAAGGAAACAGACTTGATGTTGTTTTCCCTTCATAAATTATTAACTAGT